GCTATTTTGTTTTATTTTATTTAGGTGGAATATTTTTTTAAGATATGGGGTAAAATTCAGGGGGGATGAGGTACACAAATAGCCACAGCACAGGTGAAGTCTGGGCCTCACTTTGGTCCCACGTCACCTCGTTTGAGATCAGGCACCTTTTTGGATGAAGTGATGCCCCCTCCCATCCCTGTTCCCTCTCCTGGCTGTTCCTCACTCACCAGTCCCTTTCTTATGCTATTATGATCACTGTTCAGCGTCCACTTTTGAGTGAGAACATGTGGTGCTCAGTTCTTTGTTTCTGTGAAGTGGCTATTTTAGAGGCACTGCAAAATGAATCGACAGGCAATTTAAAGAGCCCACAAAACCTATGTCTGTAGCATCAAAGGCACTCTATTATTGTACGTGATATCTTCACGTTTGGGTTGCAGCACAGTAAAATGAGGCTTTCTTTCAACAGCTCACATTTTCAATTCTTAACACCTGGAAATTTCTAGGTTACTTTCTTTCTGAAATCCTCCAAATATTCACTTTTCATGAATAAATACTCAAAAAGAAATTTAATTGTACTAAATTTAATATAAGTAAATTAATTTAATTAAGCAAATTTAAATTTAATTGTATTCAATGTAAAGAGAATAAAGAACAGTTTAAATATCGTAAATGTCTTTGTTATCAAAATAGGCACAAAAGTAACAATGTAATTAACAGCATGAAGAATCCACGGAAAAGGAAGATTCGACCAGTTACTTTCAAGTACTTCTAAAGGTATAAAGAGACTCATTATTTTTAAACATATTAAATTTATATAGCGGTCATACATAAGCTTAATCATAGTGGATTTTAAAAATTGTATTTATAAGGCACTTTTCAGTTAATAGGGTATTTTCCCAAATAATTATTTTGTCCTCAATATAAGCTTCATGAGAGCAACATTATCATTCTCACTTATATTTAAACTTTCCTTCGGTCACTTTTTTTTTTTGAGTTGTCTCACTCTGTTGTCCAGGCTGGAGTGCAGTGGCACACTCAGAGCCACCGCAGCCTTGATCTGCCGGGCTCAGGCAATCCTTCCACCTCAGCCTTCCAAGTAGCTGGAACCACAGGCCCACACCACCATGTCTGGTAATTTTTTTGATTTATTGTAGAGATGAGGTCTCGCCAAGTGCTGGAATTACAGGCGTGAGCCACTGCGCCCAGCTTGATCACCTTATTTCTAACAGTATTCATCTTTATTCTACTTTGGCTAATTCCTTCAAGATTTTATCTTGGCGCTTGCCATCACTTGGAACTAATCCTTGGAAGTTCTACATTAGCATCCCTCACTTATGGTCTACAAGTTCCTATTTTTCCAGATCTCTTATTCAATTAGTTTCATTATACTGATTCTTCAACCCCCATGGGAATGTCCAGGTCCCTCCCTCTAGCCAACAGTCCTTGCACCTTTACTTCCTTCCCTATCCAGCTTAATGTCATAGTCGCCACCTTAAACTTAGCTCTTATTGTCCTTCTTTTGCAAAAATACAGTAAAATATGAGGGGGATGCAAAAAACTGAAATTACCTTTTTTTTTTTTTAAAGAGGGTAGGGTTCTTGTGGTATAGGCTTCCCCCACTAGGTAAGTGTGCTAGGAACAATTCAGCATCAGTGTACCAGCTAGTGTTGTTGTGAGAGGCTGCATTCGACTTCTATGATTTTTGTGGGGTGGGGAGGGAAATTCTTTCAATGTGTTTGCCCATTTCATGATGGGTGATTTACATAAACCACCTGCCAACACTGCGCTCTGAGTGTTCAGCAGCTTTTGACCAAAAACAGTCTGAATCCTGTGCCCTACCCTCCCTATTCATCTGTTCTTGCCCAAGCAACTTTTTGTTTTTGTTTTTTGGATGAAAAAGTCTTCAGAGGGAAATGTTTTGCTGATGTGGAAGAGGTGAAACAAGAAAATGGCAGAGCACTAAAAGGCATCAAAAATGAAGAGTTCAAAACCCGTTTTAAGCAGTGGAAGAAGTGTCTTGATAGGTATACTGCATCACATGGAGAGTACTTTGAAGGTGAAAAGTTTAAACATGTAAGGATAAATATACAATTTTTTATAAATAAATTCTGTTGTTTTTTTGTTTTTTGGTTTCCCGGCAAATCTACCATAGATAAACCCAAATGTCCATCATGGCCTTGTCTATTCCTAAACTGTTAAACTCAAGTTGCTCAGCCTGGTACCATGATATATTTATGATATTCAATTTCAACTGGAGTTTCAGTGTCTGTTGACTGAATCCTTTCATGTTTCACAGTCAGTTGGCATTATCATTCTCTATAGCAGTTCTTTCAGATTTTATTTTATCCTCCTCAAATTTCCAATCTCATTGTTTCAAAAAAAAATTAGAAGCTATCACACACATTTTTCAATCTCCTCAAACTTCCAATCTGTTGTTTCAAAGGAAAAATACAAGCTGGTATATAACTTTCTGCTACAGGACAGAAAATTAAAACTCAGAGAAATTAAGTAAATGGATCAAAGTCCACAGCTCGTGAGGAAAAATGCAAATCACTCTGACTCCTGAGTCCATTCTCTTAACCTCTACACATAAGGATGCCTCTCAATTCCTCTTTCTCAGTTTCTGCCCTGTCATTCTTCTAGGTCTTTAAAGCAAAAACCTGGGCTGTATCCTTGGCTTTCCCCCCCCTTCAACATCAACACCCAATCGTCTGTCTACTTTTCTCTGTTTTCATCACTGGCACTCTCCTAGAACAAGGAGCTATGATCATACACCTGGATTTCAGCAACAGCCTTCAAATTTGCTCCAATTCAATCTTGCTCTCTAGACTGAAGATAATGTAAGTGATCTTTCCAAAAATGCAAACCTGCACTAGCCAACCCAATTCCTTAGTTCAATTCTTACCAACTCCTTCAAACTTAATCCTTGAGACCAAAGGCTGGCAAACTCCGTTCATAGAGGGCCATATAGTAAGTATTTAGTGTGCCATAAAGTATCTCAGACTTAATTCTGCTGTTATAACACAAAAGCAACCATAAACCATACACAGCCAAATAGGTTTGGTTATGTTGCAGTGAAACTTTACAAAAACTGGTAATGGACTGGGCTTGGCCCACAGGCTGCAGTTTGCCAATCTCTGCTTTAGACATACTATATTTATTAATATTAAGTAACTTCTGTGGGCTACGGACGATGTTCATGACAAGTGAATGACACAGTGATGAGCAAAATAGCTAGGCTTCTTGCCTTCCCAGAGCTTAAAATCAGTGGGGAGGAAGATATTAACCAAAATAAACTTGCAGAAATATATAAAACTGCTACTGGAATAAGCACCACAGGAGAAAAATAAATTGTGCTATGACAGCCTATGAAATGGATCTGACCTAAACCCAGGGATTTAGAAGGTTTTCCTGAGGAACGTTATGACTGAGATGAAATTCAAAGAGGGGACAGAAGGGTATTCTAGGAAGAGAGACCAACATCTGAGACCAACAGGAAGAAGCCGACTCATTTCAGGGCCTGAGGAAGGATGTGTGGCTAGAACAGCTGGAGAGGCAGGGGCAGACCATGCATTTTGGACCACACTCAGGATTTTCATCTTTATCCTAAAAGCAATGAAAAACCATTACAGCATTTTAAGGAAGGAATGATATAGCCAGGTTTCTATAACATAAAGGGAACTTTATCTTTGTTCACCACTAAAACCTCAGCTCTTAGCTCTCTATCTGGCAAACTGTAGAACTAATATGCAAAAAACATATCAGAAGGGGAAGCAAGTATAAATGTGGATAGATTTCTTAGATGACAGTAATTCACAGTAGTGATGGAGAGAAGTTCATGAAAAGCACAGATTTATGATAGAAAATCAAGAGGATTTAATGATAGACTCTATTTAGTGGGAAAGTTGAAGGAACTATTAGGAATTCACTGAAAACATGAGAAGATGATCAGGTTTGGTAGGGAAATAAGAGTTTGGTTTTGGGGTGGGTTAAATATGAGATAACTTTGAGATATCTAATAGGAAATTTTAAATAAACAGGTGAGTATATAGACCTGGAATTCAAAGACATCTGGGCTGGAGATATAAATCTGCTAACTGAATGTGTAGGCCTGGAGTACATATCTAGGAAGACAGAACAAAAAAAAAGGACCTGGGACTGAGCACTGAAGTATTCTGTCACTAAATAGCTAGACAGAAAAGGATGAACCTGCCGAAAGAAAAAGAGAGAGGAAGAAATCAGCAGTGCTGACATGGAAGCCAAGAGAAGAGAATGTTGCGAGACAAAGTGAACCAACAGTGTCAAATGATTCTGAGAATTCAGGACAGACACTAGCAAACATTCTCTGGAATTCTGAAATGGAAGCCATTTGGGGTCTTGGAACACTCACTAGGGTCTTCCTCCTCAGAACCGCTGCCTATGCTCTTTGCCCTACTTTCCTATCATGAGACGGGATCCACAAGACTCTCATAGTAACACTGGATTTGTGTGTGTATGGGGAGGAGGGCTAGGCAGGCGTGGATCCCGAGAGGGCTGCAAAAGAAGGGCTTAAAGAGGAAGAAGGCAGAGTGGCAGCTCAGACAAAGGCGGGGAGCCAAGCATCTACCATCAAACCGTACAAGGCAGCTCCCTGTCCACAAAGGCAGTACCTGCAGGGGTGAAGCATAGATTGCGGCCGACTGACATAAGACAGACGAGAGGTATATACACTTTTATTTTTAAACAGTGAATAATATATTCCCATTTCATTCTTCATTTAGCCATAATCATTGGGGATTTTACCAGACTTTTTGGCACTCATTCTCTAACTAGTAGATAACATGGGACATTCTAGAGTTACCAAGTGCTTTTCTCAAATATGTGAAACTTATAAATAAGAAATAATATGTGAAATCATCAAGCATAATTCTTTTCATTTACTAGGTACTTAGTACATATTTAATGCAACTGAATCATTAGAAAATTATACACTAATTTCAGACATGTTATTGATTCCCATGGAGTGAAAATTTTATTACCTTGAATATCATCATTGAATGTGCAATACTGGTTTCGGTACTTGTTCAGGAGACGAAATGCATTCGTATTGGCAAAATCTTCAAACTGAATAAGGCAATTTATGCCATACCTATTGAAAAAAAATCATATACATTGTAAGCGGTTAATAAAATAACATTTAAAAATAAACCTTTAAAATTAGCCCATAGTAAAAGCACAACATTATTTTCTTTTAAAGATCCTACCTTGCTGTTTGGTATACATATGCAATGTAATATCTGTTCAGCAAATATTTACTGCATGCTTGTTACAGAAAAGGCATTGTGAAATAATATAAAATGACCCAAACATGCTCCCTATCCTCAAGGAATTTAAAATTTAGTAGAAAAAAATGTTTAGAAATAAAAAGTCATATAAGCAAGGAGTTATAGGTGTTCCAGGGGACAGAGATCACTTGTGGTGGGGCTCACAGCCCAAGTAGCAAATGCACTGAGTTTAATGGACAGTTATGATTTCAGAAGCAAAGGTGTGGGGTTTTGTGAGCTGAGAGAAAGTAGAAGCAAAATAACAGAGGTAAAAGATGAAAAATAAAAAACTGTTTAAAAAATGACCAAAAGCCCTGTTTGGCAATAGTGGTACATATGTAAAGGTGTAGTGAAAGACAGGTCAGACTGTCATTCTTGCCCTTTCCTTTCTCCTAATTCATTTGTTCTAGTTTCACCTCTGTATGCCAAAGACACTTACTTTTTTGTCTTACTTCTTTTTGTTTTTCCCTCAAAGACACTCACTTCGACACTGGCTGCTCCCCTTAGTATCCCTGCCCCCGTCCTCCCTCACTCTGAATATCCCTTATTCTACTAAGACAGCACATACATCCATGCTGTTGAATCTTAGCCAGGATCTCAATCAAGTCAAGTATCTTTGGACTGGGTAACGTATCAATGGTAAAAACTTATTGCTAATGGTCTGAGACTGAAAGTCCAAGAGCAAAGCGCCAGCAGATCCTGCCCCTGGTGAGGCCCCTTCCTCACAGACTGTGTCTTCTTGCTGCGTCTTCGCATGCCAGAAGGGGCAAGTACTACCCTCCCTGCAGCCTCTTTTGTAAGGACGCTAATCCCATTTGTGAGGAAGGTGCCCTCATGACTTAATCACTTCCCAAAGGCCTACCTCTTAATACCATCACAGGGGGACTAAGTTTTGACATATGAAACTTACAGTTCAGACCACAGATGCAGTTTCTCGCCTGCCAGGCCCCCAAACACCCGATCTCTTCCCAGTCCCGGCCTCACTGAGATCGAGGCTGGAGAGAACCATCTCCACCACCTCAGCTCTCCCTGACATCAAAAAAAAGTTGTACTTTTATTCCCTTTTCTTCTTCTACTTATGAGAACAACTCTTGCTTCCTTGCTTCTAATCTTTATAAACTGTACTGAAAAAACGCTACCTCTCAGCTTCAGTTTCTCCATTTCCACTGGTCCCTTCCTGTCTCTAAGGATTTCCAGGACCCCTCGATTTTAAAACCACCTCCCTTGGCCATGACAAAAACCAAAGTTATGGTTACTTGTGCTTCTACTCGTCAGTGCCAAACCTCTCAGGAGAAAGTGCTAAGCCCTGCACTAATTTCTCATTTCTTGTCAACATTATGCCTACAGTGTTGACAAGGACAGTCTTAAATTGTCGCCTCCTGACATCACAGTGTGTATAAGGTCTCTCTCTCTTCTAATCCAATACAAAATCTTTGTAAGTCTGTCATTTTTTCTTCCATTATGCTTATTTATGTATCATTATTATATTTATCCCTGATGGGTTATCTTTTTAAGTTATCATAACATTTATAGGTGAAGCCTGGTGTTGAATTTTTATTGTTTTACTGCTATAGCCTGGCATCTTTTTCTATGTCTATTGGTCATTGCTAATTCTTTCTGGAAGATATATGTCCATTAGCTCATTTTTCTATTGTTATAGTTATTATTCTTTATTATTTCATGAGGTTTTTATATAGTTGACTATATATTCTGTTATTTATGTTGCAAATGGTTTTTGTAATCTAGTATACTGTGCCATTAACATTTAGACAGTGTTCTCATTTGCTTTCATCAAAGGAATTTTAAATTTTTATGTAGTCAGATCTATCTTTTTATTTGTAGCTTCTGCTTTTGGTGATATGCTTCTCCACATACATTTATTTAACTGTTAATCAAAAATTTATTCTAAATATGTCATGGATCTAGAAAATAGTTCCCTCTAAATCTGGGGTTACTTTTACTGTTAGACCACCGAGGTAAAACAGAGAGTGAGAGGCAGGCCAACATTTCAGTTTTTTCTATAACCACCCACCTGTGCCAGAATCGTTCCCGCAGCAGTCCATCCCTCTCCTCATCACCTGCTGTTATATACCATATTCTTATGGACAGCAGAGTCTGCTTCTGGGCTTTTCTGTTTTATTCTGCTGTTACTGATGACAGCAGATATTTTTTCACTTTATAAGTATATATAGTCACACACTCTTCACAGCCACTCTATGAAGTAATACTATCATTATCCTCATCTAATAAACGAGAACACGGGCACACTAGCTGGTACGGCTTTGTAATGACAGTCTAATAGTAACAATTAATCTACTAATCTCTCTATGCAGAAAAATAAACCTCCCTGTTTCAATTACTATAGCTTTCTAATAACTTCAATATTTAGCACTATTAGTCACCCTTTATTCTTCTTTTTAAATATTTACTTGGTGGTGACTGTGGTTTAGAAGACAGGCTCTAGAATAAAAGCTCCCGGGATGAAATCTTACCCTCCTCACATACTGCATATCCTTAACGTTCTGTGCCTCTGTTTCCTCATCAGAAAAAAAATGAGAATAGTAATGGCATATTATCATAAAACAGCTATCAAAATTAAAAGAAGTGACACATGTAAGTGTCCAGTGCAATGACTGGCACATACAGGACTCTAGGGTCATCAGATTTTTTAATTTAATAGCAATAATAGAAGTAAGAGATGTGATATGATATCCTCAGTGGCCTGAGAGAAAATAACTGTCCTAGATAATATATCTAGCAAAGCTAGTCTTCAACAGTAAGCGTAAAACAAAGACATGTTTAAATAAATAAAAACCAAAAAAGGAACTTCTAAAAGTGTATTTCAGAAAGAAAGAAAATACTCCAGTAAAAAAAAAAAAGGTCTGTGATATAAAATGAAGGTAGATACAAGCAACTTTCATTCAAAATTAATAGTCATGATAAACAAAGATACTTTTAGCATGACAGAGTGGAGAGGTTGGCAAACTCATTCCCCAAACAGCAATGACATTGCAGGACAAAATCTTCAAAACAACCATTTCAGTGCTCTATAAATCAACTAACGGCAAAAAAAAGCAAAGACTTAGAAGTAACATGAGAGAGTGGGATCAGTTCTTGAAGGGAACATAACATTGTTCTGCTCTTTATGCATGTATTTGATGCCATTCTTCATTTTCCAAGGAAACTCTTTAGCTAGCTTTGTTGATAATTACAAAAATGTTATTAAGAACTGGAAAAGCATTTCTATGGTTACAAATTATTACTTTTTTTATAACCTTCAGCAGAGATGCAAACTTTGTGGTAGCAACTAAGTCCCCTAAACACAAATATCAGTTCAGAATTATGTTGTGTGTGTGACAGTTCCTTCCCACTGCTTTGTTTCTAAGCAGGGCTTTAGAAAGCAAAGTCTGTATGCCTTTGCAGGGCTCTCGTATAGTTTGCTCCTGATGTGTCATATACTAGTGGTCTAGCAGCATTAGATAATCTGTCATTAAGTTCAGAAGAAGCAAAACCTTGTGGTCTCAGTATGTGAGGAGGAATCAGAGCCTTCTCAGTTCTATTCCTGGATCTACTACTTACTTGGGTCTGTGGTTTGGGACTGGTTACAATTTCTCTGTGGCTAAAATGAAATGCCCACAATGTGGTCTGCCTTCAGTGTTTAGGACGCAGAGTGGTCAAGCTATAAATTTATAGTGTTTCCTAAGTAAAATCTGGGAGTAGGCATAGGTAGTAAAATGGTAAACAACATACCTTATCATTTTCAAAAGTTTATTTTAGGATCATCCCCTGGATACTGCATATCAGCTTTATTTTCATAACTTTTCTCTGCCTGGTAGTTAACTCTGGTTTGACTCCTAAAGATTCAGTGAGAGGCATTCTGAATTCATTTTGTGACACAAGCATCTCACATCATATAATAAAAGAAAGCCACGTAAGGGATAGTTTGTTCCAGTTTGAACCAACTTTGTCACTATAAAATTATAAGTAGTGGAACACTCAGAAGTTGGTCATTTCAATTCTATATAACTATGAAAAGAACCTACTATTTTATGATCAAAATATCACATAAAAGAGAGGGTGGAAGAGAGGGTATTAAAAGTTAACAGAAATACCACCCATAAAATTAACATGTAAAAACTCCAGAGATTTTGCTCCTCTGGCATTGTTTTCTGACAAAAAGCTTATTCAGTGACTAATCACTACACCTGGCACTTACTAAGTATCAGGCACTACGCTCCTTACTCTATAGAGATTATCTCGCTTAATCCTGTCAGCAACCAGTGAGGAAAATGCTGTTATTATTCATTTAACAGAGGAATCGAGCATAGGGACCATGGTTGATTGAGCTCATACTGCTAATAAATGATAATGTCTGCAGTGAAACACGGGGTTCATGATCTTAACTACTATATGTACTGGCTCCCACAGAACACCAACAGAGCGATAGAGTCAATGAAAGGAACAGTATATTTAACATCTGAAAGGATTGTACTGATAAAATAAAAGAGTCATAAATCTATCATAAAAGTAGCAAGACAGCATTTGTATACATTCAACACAGAAAGGTACTTTTATTAAAAAAAAGATATGGACAGATATTAGTGAAAACATTCGTCTTTGATCAAGGATTCACTGTAAGCAGGTTAACCAAGCATGCTTTAAATTTCCTAGGAGATACAGTAAACATGTTTTGGTGCTGTTACATGTGCGGCACCATGTGGAGCATTCAAGATCCAGAGCACTTTAGCTCTGAGGAATACCTTAGAGATAATTTATTCCAAATTACTCGTTTTTGATAGTGTACTAAAGCTTGAGGGTGCGCAAT